ATGTGAAACATAGGATCACATGTGAAACATATAGGATCACATGTGAAGTGAATGAGTGTTTTTCTGGTGTTGGACACATGAAACAAAAGATTCAGGTCCATTTCAAGTTACTATGTGAAACCAGGAGAATCCCTCTAACTCCAGAGCATTTGTTCCACATGTTCCCAAATGTTGCACATTTTCATAAAAATAAAATAAAACTTTTTTTTACAGTTTTGAAGTTTTCTTCCAAATGTTCAGGAGCTGGAAGAACTGAACTCAGAACAAACAATAAAACCAGTTTTCTTAGATGTTGATCAATAATCGATGTTTCATTCAGGACGAACCTTGTCAATCAACTGGACGAACCTGTCGTTCAGTCCGACCAGCTGCTCCTTCTCCCTGGACTTGCTGTGGTCCGGGAGACTCCGTCTCTGGTCCCCGCTGGGGGGGTCCACGGTCCTGCTGCTGAAGGATGAGGAGGGCATGCTGGAGGTCCAGGAGGAGGTCTGACAGGAGGAGGTCTGACAGGAGGAGGTCTGACAGGAGGAGGTCTGATGGAAGGAGGTCTGACAGGAGCGGGTCTGAGGGCGCAGTGCCCGCGGCACCTTATGAAGGCGCGCACGGACTCCGGTCCTGCCCCGGTTCGGCCCTCGGTCCAATCTTAACGGAACAGGTGCAGAGTTACCTGGAAAACCAGCGTGAAGTTCCTGAATTTCAAGTCGGAACCAGTTGGTCCAGAACTGGATTGGACCCAGGATTTATCCGGGGCGGGTTCTGACGCACGGAGACAATAAAAGTCCCGTGAGGTGACCCGTCCCAGTCCAGAACCACTCCAGAACCCGTCCCAGTCCAGAACCAGAGAGATGCCTCTGAACAGCAGCGCCACGGTGTACGGGGGGGCCGGGGGCCGGGGGGCCAGGGCCTCCGTGTCCAGTCTGGAGGGTCTGCGCAGCATCCTGCGCAACGACCCGGACCCGGCTCCGGCTCCCCAGAAACCCGCTCCGGGACCTCAGGACGAGCCCAGGTCCGAGGCGGAGCCCGGAGACCAGAAGCTCCTGCGGGGTCTGAACACGCGCCTGTCCAGCTTCCTGCAGAAGGTGCAGCAGCTGCAGGAGGACAACGGAGCCCTGCAGCAGGACATCGAGCACGTCCTGTCCAAGAGGAGAAGCCCTGAGGGACGCCGCTGGGAGGAGCTGCAGGAGCCCCTGAAGGAGAAGGAGAAGCAGGTGGGTCTCCTCCTTCCTGCTCCTGCAGCTCCTGCAGCTCCTGCTCATGTTTGTCATGTTCCAGGTGAAGGAGCTGACCCTGGACAACGCCAGGCAGCTGCTGCAGATGGACAACACCAGACTGGCCAAAGACGACTTCAAGAACAAGTGAGTGTCCTCCAGCCTGAAGCTCCTTCCTGCAGGAGAACATCTGGAACATCTGCTGCTGTTGCAGGCTGGACGAGGAGACGAGAGCCAGGAAGGAGATGGAGAAAGACCTGGACAAGCTGAAGAACGTCATCGATGAAATCAAGCTGGAGAAGGACCGGGTGCAGATGGAGACGCAGCTGGTGAAGAACGAGCTGCAGCAGCTCCAGGAGGAGCACCAGAAGGTGAGGCCACGAGGAGTCAGAACCTTTTCCACTCCTCTCCCCTGAACTTGTGAACATGTCCCGCAGGAGGTGGACGAGCTGCTACAGAAGATCAAGGAGTCTGAGGTGAAGGTGGAGATGGACACGTCCAGCTCCAACCTGGGGGACATCATCAACAGCATCCGGGCCCACTACCAGAAACTGTCCGAGAAGAACCTGCAGGAGACGGAGGACTGGTACAAGAACAAGGTGTGGACCTGTCTCTCTCTGTGTCTCACTGTGTCTCACTGTGTCTCACTGCTGTCCGTCCTGTTTGTCTCCTCCTAGTTTGAGAACATGGAGGTGGAGGAGGCCCAGAACAACGAGGCTCTGGACTCTGGAAACTCTGAACTGAAGGAGCTGCAGAAGCAGAAGAAGATGCTGGAAGTGGAGATCAGGAACCAGTGGAGAACTGTAAGTCCACCACGAGACGTCTGCCTGTCTGACCCATCATTAAACCAACGGTGCCGGGTCAGAACCAGAGACACTTCAGGGGCTCCTGGAGGAGCTCCTGGAGGAGCTCCTGAGATGCTCGTGTGTGTTTCTCCAAGAAGGAAACAAAAAGTTCTTTGTCTCCCAGATCAACACCCTGGAGGACACGCTGAGCAGAACCAACTGGGAGTCCAACCAGCGTCTGGGCCCGCTCTACCGGGCCATCACCAAGCTGGAGGCCAACCTGAGGGACGTGAGGGTCCAGCTGGAGAACCAGAAGGAGCTCAACGAGGAGCTGCTGACCGTCAAGATGAAGCTGGAGAAAGAGATCGAGACCTACAGGAAGCTGATCGGAGCCATCACTGCTGAGGAGGAGAGGTGAGGACACTCAGAGACACTTGGAGACATTTAGGGACAACCTGAAGTCACATGTTCCTCCAGCTTTTGTATCCGTGAGGACGTGGACATGTCTCTGAAGGACTGTCCCCCCTCAGGGAGTTATTTGTTCTCTTCTTCCCGACAGCGCGCGGTTCGACATCGAGGACGCTCTGCAGGACGGTAAGCTGCACATCTGTCTCTTTAAAACCTGATCTGGACCTGATTCTGGACCTGATCTGGACATGATCTGGAACTGATCAGGACCTGATTCTGGACCTGATCTGGAACTGATCAGGACCTGATTCTGGACCTGATCAGGACATGATCTGGAATTGATCAGGACCTGATTCTGGACCTGATCTGGAACTGATCAGGACCTGATTCTGGACCTGATCTGGAACTGATCAGGACCTGATCTGGAACTTATCAGGACCTGATTCTGGACCTGATCGGGACCTGATCTGGACTGAGCGCATTCAGTTTGATCTCCATCTGTAAACAAACAGAAACTGTGAGGTGTAATCAGATTACTAACCTGCCCTGTGAGGTGTAATCAGATTACTAACCTGCCATGTGAGGTGTAATCAGATTACTAACCTGCCTGTCATCGATGACGCTCGCCCCCGACAGGAAGTTGAGCACCTGCTGCACTTCCTGCCGGGTTAAGAAACTGTTTTTTGGACGAGTACTTAGAGGCACGTCAGCTGAGGTCGGGCCCTTCGGCTGATGTTCGGGGACATTCGGGTCCTTCCAGGACCAAACTGTTCCTTATCGGCTGATTTAGTCACTAAACCACCGCGTGGCATGAGAGCTCTGATCAACGAACGCTCCATCGAACCTTCTTCTTGTTCCGCGTAAGACTTTTGTTCTTTTCTGCTTTCAGCTCAGCCGAACGTTGAGCTGCAAGACGCCGAGGAGGAGCTGAAGGAAGAATGAGCTGCCGTCAGCTGCTCCTGTCCCATTGAAGACCCTGAAGACCCCGAAGTGGAGGAGGTGGTGGTGTGTTCAGGGGACCACGAGTGAAGCAGCCGTCAGGAGAACAACACATCTTCCTCTTCTTCCTCTTCCTCTGATTGAAAAAAGTTGATTAAAGTGAAGAATCCAAAGATGTGACTGTGTCGTTTGTTTTCTCTGCAATCATTTGATACGAAACAGCTGCGCTGCCCGTCACGTCCACCGAGTTTCATTCAGTTCACTTCTTTTATAATTCACTTTATTTATAATTCACTTTATTTATAATTCACTTCATTTATAATTCACTTTATTTATAATTCACTTCATTTATAATTCACTTCATTTATAATTCACTTTATTTATATACAGCTCCAAATCACAACCAAGTTGTCTCAGGGCACTTTACAGGAACAGTCACATAGAAAAGCATAGAAAAAATAATTACAAATACAAAACAGGCATTTTGGATCAACTGAAGACGTTTTAAAGACGTATTTGGACACCCAGATAATAAACCATTGCAATAGTCCAGTCTAGACGTGACAAATGCATGGACCAGTTCTTCTGCATCATCTTTAGATCAGATGTTTCTAATGTTAGTGATATTACGCAGGTGGAAGAAGGAGGTTCTAGTAACGTTTTTAATGTGGGGGATAAAAGACGTGTCCTGATCAAAAATAACACCAAGATTTTAACATTAGAGCTGGAGGAAAGATTAGTGCATCTAAGGAGGGAGAAAGACTGAAACATTCATTCCTAAGGTGCTCAGGTCCAAAAACTAAAACCTCAGTCTCGTCTGTTCAACAGGAGAAAATTAAGGGTCATCCAGGTTTTTATGTCTTTAAGACATGCTTGTAGTCTAAGTAGCTGATTGGATTCATTGGGTTTAATGGACAAATATAATTGTGTGTCATCAGCATAACAATGAAAATTTATCCCATGCTGTTTAATAACTTTACCTAATGGAAGCATATATAAAGTAAAGAGTATTGGTCCAAGCACTGAGCCCTGAGGAACTCCATGACTAACTTTGGTGTATGAAGAAGATTCATTATTTACATGTACAAACTGGAATCTATCAGATAGATATGATTTAAACCATTTTAGAGCTGTTCCTGTAATCCCAACATCATATTCAAGCCTCTGTAGTAAAATATTGTGATCAATTGTATCAAATGCAGCACTGAGGTCTAACAGGACCAGTAGAGACACAAGTCCATTGTCTGAGGCCATGAGAATATCTTTAGTGACTTTTACTAGTGCTGTTTCTGTGCTATGATGAGCTCTAAACCCTGACTGAAACTCTTCAAACAGATTATTTCTTTGTAGATGTTCACGCAACTGACCTGCAACTATTTTCTCTAGAATTTTTGAGATGAAAGTTAGATTAGATATAGATCTATAGTTGGCCAGAATTTCTGAATCAAGATCAGACTTCTTAAGTAAAGGTTTAATTACAGCAACCTTAAAGCTCTGTGGTACATAACCATCCATTAAAGACAAATTAAGTAGATCCAAAATGTGGACATTAATTAGTGGAAATACCTCTTTAAACAGTCTGGTTGGGATGGGATCTAGCAGGCATGTGGATGGTTTGGATGAGGTTATTATTTTTGACAATTCAGAGCTCAACAGGACAAAAACTGTCCAAACATAAATCAGGCTCTAGTGAAATTTTTAAAGTTGTCTCATTTGACAGGGGACTAGAGATAGTAGAAGGAAGGATGGTTTGAATTTTCTCTCTAATTGAAATAATTTTATTTATAAAGAATCTCATGAAGTCATCACTACTTATAGTTGTAGGGATACATGGTTCAACAGAAATGGGACTTTTAATTAGTCTAGCAATAGTACTAAACAGAAACCTAGGGTTATTTTTATTCTCCTATTAAAGATGAGTAATATAAAGTTCTAGCTTTACGGAGAGCTTTTTTATATGTTAGCAGAATATCTTTCCAAGTTAAATAAAATTATTCAACATTAGTAGAGCGCCATTTTCTCTCCTGGTTTCTAGATGCTGCTTTAAAGTACGTAACTCAGAATTGAACCAAAGAAGAGCGGCTCCGTCCAAAGTGGGATGGATGCCATCTCTCCGCATCAGACCAGGTTTTCCCCAGAAAGAACTCCAGTTATCTTTGTAGTCCACGTCGTTGGCAGAACACCACCTGGACACCCAGCGGTTAAACGACGACATACGACTAAACATGTCATCGCTGGTCAGGTTGTTAAAGCAGAGTTCATCTGAAAGTGACCCGGTTCTGAAGCCCAGCTGGACAAGAAGAAGCCAGGTGTGTTAGCAACACCTGAGTGGAAAGACATCAGCAATGACCCTAGAGGGGCACCTGTTGCTGGTCGTCATCAGTGAGGGGTTCTGGGACCGGGTCAGACCGGGCCCAAGTTGAATTAGATCTTTTAGGACAGACGCGAGTGGACCAGAACAAACGCCTCAGAGAACCAGCTGAAATGCCTCGAGTCAGAATCTGAGCCGAGGAACGCAGCGACTCCAACATGGCCGCCCCGTGTATGAAAAGTCACGAAACGGTTTAACGCAGACATCGTTAGCGTGTCATGCTAATAGCGGTTAGCCTGCTTTCTGAGCACGATGGTGAAGCGCTGATGGTTTGGGCTCCTTTCAGCCATTGAGTGGACCAGGAACTCTGTAGACCAGATGTCCCCAGACCTGGTCCTCGTGTCCTGGATGTTTTAGCAGTTCCCGCTTTGACACACCTGGTCTAAATTATTCAATCAGCTGCTCGACTGAAGCAGGAAACATGTCCATCGTGCAGGACGGTGGACCACCAGGGTCAGGGTCCTCTGCTGTAGATCACAGGAGCCTGGAGACAAATGTGAGTCCAGTCCACGCAGGACCAGAGTACAAGCCCCGCCCATCGCCATGCTTCATCTGTCAGAGGTCTCTGGTTCTGTCTCCAACACATGAAACGGGTTGGAATCTGACCCGGTTCACGCACGTGGACTGGGTGGACAAAGACCTCAACAACCCTCAGGAGGGAGGGGAGGGAGTGATTCTAACAAGTTCAGAAGCTCGTTAGTTTTCAGGTGAGAAGTCTGAAAACAAGACTTCCAGTTTTATCAGAACGAGGGTTTAATGGAGGAAGGAGGCGTTTTCTGAAGATCCTTCAACACGAGAACTCCAAATCCTCCATGGTCCAGGTCCTCCACGGTCTAGGTCCCTGGTCTTCATGAGCTATGAGGATTTTCTTCTCTGGACCCGACTATCAAAGCTGCCATAAACAAACTTCAACAGCCTGGCAGGTGAGGCGTTTCCTCGGTAAACGAACCGATAGTGACACTTCCTGTCAATCAACTTCCTGTCAACTTTATTTATAAAGCACGATTTGTAACAGATTGCTTAAGATAAGGCTGAAGAGTCGAGATTTACAGGAACAGAGACAGCAGTAGAGCTAGGACTAAACACAACTAATAAAGTTTTCTGATCGTTTGAAACTTAAAAATATTGAAGCCATCCATGATGTCATCAAGACATTTTAAGAGGCTGAATGGAGCAAGAACTGTTGGGTTTTAAGGTCAGATAAATCTGACAATCATCAGCATAACAGTGAAATGAAAGACCATGTTTCCTCAGGATAGACCCCAAGGGGAGCAGATAGCGAAAACAATAGGGGTCCAAGAATAAAGTCCTGCGGAACCCCGCAGTAAATAGGAACTAAGCAAATGAACCATCACCAACATTAACACAAAAACTCCCGTCACTCAGATAAGAACAGAACCAACCTGTCAATCAAACCTTTCGTTGTTTCTGCTGCTCAGAATTTGGGAGCTGAAATGAACCCAAAGTTGCTCCGGGCCAGAGCAGTGAAGAAGACTCTTTGGATGTTCCGAGACGTGAAGAAACAAACAACCGTTTTGATTTCTAAAGTTTTATTTTCTTCAGATGGTGACAGACATGAGAGCAGAGGAGCTGAAGCCGTCCAGAAGCTGGACCCGAGAGGCGAGCGAGTACCAAACGCATCAAAACATCGTATCAAAAAGTCTTTTTGTTCATATATATATATTTATATATAAATAAATAAATATATACATAAATATATATTCATTTATTTATATATTTATTTATTTGACTAATGATTTTCTAACGATGCGAAGCAGCGAATGCCCTTTTTGTAAATTTATCTTGAGCTTTGCCAAAAGTAGAGCCGTGTTTATTCCTCGTCAATAAACAAAAACAAATGTTTGTTTGGGGGGTCGGGTCCTGACAGTCCGGCGTGGAGTCCAGGTCGGCGCCGAGCGTTTCCACCGCAGGTTCTGGACCTCAGCGGGAGAACGTCTTCCCTCTGAAAACAACAACAGGAAGTCAAAACTCCACCAAGAACCGAGCGGCGCCGTCAGTCCGCTTCACACCCGCGCTGCTTTGGAAAGAATGTTTGCAGTTACACATTAGCCACAAAACAAAGGCTCTGTGAGGTCCAACCGGGCCGGGTTCTGACCCACCTGGAAACCAAACAAAGCTCTGAGACAAGAAACACAGGTACAGGTCACAAAATGAGAACATGATGAAGAAGTTGATTTATTTCAGTAACTCCATTCATAAAGTGAAACTTGTAGATTATATTCATTCATCACACACAGACTGAGGTATTTCAAATGTTTATTTCTTTTAATGTGGATGATTATAACTGACAACTAATGAAAACCACAAAGTCAGTATCTCAGAAAATTAGAACATTGTGAAAAGCTTCAATATTAAAAACACCTGGTGCCACACTCTGATCAGCTGATTAACTCAAAACACCTGCAAAGGTCTTTAAATGGTCTCGGTCTGGTTCTGTAGCTGCACAATCATGGGGACGACTGCTGACTGGACACTTGTCCAAAAGACGACCATGGACACCTGCACGACGAGGACAAGACACATGAGGTCATTGCTAAAGAGGCTGGCTGTTCATAGAGCTCTGTGTCCAAGCACATTAACAGAGAGGCGAAGGGAAGGAAAAGATGTGGTAGAAAAAAGTTACAAGCAGTAGAGATAACTGCACCCTGGAGAGGATGGTGAAACAAAACCCATTCCAAAATGTGGGGGAGATTCACAAAGAGCGGACTGCAGCTGGAGTCAGTGCTTCAAGAACCACCACGCTGAGGCGTATGCAAGACATGGGGTTCAGTTGTCACATTCCTTGTGTCCAGCCACTCTTGAACAAGAGACAGCATCAGAAGTGTCTCTCCTGGGACCGCTGCTGCGTGGTCCAAAGTTCTGTTCTCTGATGGAAGAACATTTTACATTTCCTTTGGAAATCCAGGTCCCAGAGTCTGGAGGAAGAGGAGAGGCACAGAATCCACGTTGCTTCAGGTCCAGTGTCAAGTTTCCACAGTCAGTGATGGTTTGGGGCCATGTCATCTGCTGGTGTTGGTCCACTGTGTTTTCTCAGGTCAAAGGTCAACACAGCATCTACCAGGAAGTTTCAGAGACTTCCTGCTGCTGACCAACTTTATGGAGATGCAGATTTCATTTTCCTACAGGACTTGGCACCTGCACACTGTGCCAAAGATACCAGTACCTGGTTTAAGGACCATGGTATCCCAGTTCTTAACTGGTCAACAAACTGTCCTGACCTTAACCCCATAAAAAATCTGACGTATTGTGAAGAAGATGTGATGCACCAGAGCCAACAATTGAGAAGAGCTGAAGGCCACGATCAGAACAACCTGGACTCTCAGAACCTGAACAGAGACACAGACTGATCCACTCCAGGACACGATGCAGTGATGCAGTGATCCAGACTAAAGGAGCAACAACTAAGTACTGATGCTGAACATGATCATAGTTTTCAGTTGGACAACATTTATAAAAATACTTTTTTTATTGGTCTTAAATAATATTCTAATTTTCTGAGATACTGACTTTGTGGTTTTCATTAGTTGTCAGTTATAATCATCAACATTAAAGAAATAAACATTTGAAATATGTCAGTCTGTGTGTAATGAATGAATATAATCTACAAGTTTCACTTTATGAATGGAGTTACTGAAATAAATAAACTTTTTCATCATGTTCTCATTTTATGACCAGCACCTGTAAAATAAAACTTTTAAAACAAACGACTCGACTGTTTCCAGGTTTGTCACGTTTCCCCTCGCTCCGACGAACTCGAACGCTCGACCCGCGCTGCCGAGCCTGAAAAAAGAAGAGGAGGCGGAGCTACTCACGAAATGGTCTTCATCTCCTTCTTCTCGGCGTCGGGCCGTGCGCGGTTCAGCACCTTCAGGAAGTCAGATGTCTTGGCTCTCATGCGCGTGTGGATATAGGCCTGCAGAGGAGGAGATCGGATCAGAACCGGGCTTTCAGCTGGCACTGGCTCAAACGGTTAGAGGAACATGAAACCCCGCCCCCGAGGCTGACTCTTCTCTACATGACGGCAGATGATGATACTGGAATCACAGGAACGGCTCTAAATTAGTTTAAATCACATCTATCTGATAGATTACAGTTTGTAAATGTAAACAATGAATCTTCTTCATACACCAAAGTCAATCATGGAGTTCCTCAGGGTTCAGTGCTTGGACCAATACTCTTTACCTTAGATATAGTTCCATTAGGTAATGGCGCTATATAAATAAACTGAATTGAATGAACGGTCGTTCGGGGTCAAAAACTGGTCTGAGCACAAGTCCTGCGTCAGCTTTTATTTTGAAGGAGCAGAATAATGAGTGACAGCTTCCTCTTTCATTCATCTGCCGACACAGCCGGGCCTCATCAGAGCCAGAACCAAGAAAAACATTTAACTGTTCTCCTGAACATTCTGTGTGCAGACGTGCACGCGGAGCTCTCCGTGCACGGCGGCGCTCACCTTGGAGCACTTGATGTGGTAGTGCAGGTAGTCCCTGAAGGTGTGGATGAGGTTGATGGTGTTGTCTCTGGCGCCGGCGTTGGTGTGACGAGGGAACAGGACTGAAAACGACAAGTTCAGACGGCTACGTGAGTCGTGCGGTTACGTTCGGGGCAAAGATGGCGGTTCGAGCAGCGCGCTGACCGAAGGTGATGTAGCCGATGTTGTCGCCGACGGCGGCGTCCGTGTCCTTCAGCTCCAGGGGCGGCTCCCGGTGGCTGAACAGAACCTGCGGAGCCGTGTGGCTGGCCCTCCGACCCTCTTTGAACTCCTGAAAAACATCACAGGTTAAAGTAAACAGGAAGTGACATCACAACTCGCCTCTCATCAGTCGCCTCACCTGCATGAAGACTTTGCCGATGACGACGTCGTCGTCGTCCTTGAACACCGTGCTGAAGACCACCGTGACCCGGTCCTTCTTGGCCTCCAAGTACCTGAAGGCAGAGAGAGGAGCTGAAAACCAGGACCAGGTGCCCCCGCCCCCCACCGGGTCAGGACCTACATGGACTCGTCGTCTCTGTAGTGCACCACGGCCCTCTTCTCGCCCTCCTTGCCTTCCTCCTGGAACTTGAAGTACTTCTCGAACACGGAGGCGAAGCAGTTCCTCTTCAGCATGCCGGCCTGGTGGATCGCCTCGTCTCTTGATGCCGGCAGAGCTTCCAGGTCGTAGAGCAGAGACACGTTGTAGCCTGCCGGAGCGGACCAGAACCGGCAGGAAACGGGTCAACACGGAGCGCAGCGACAGCTTTAATGAAGCTTTTCTAACTGAACGTCACGAGAACGACTTCCTGGACTGAACGTCTGACGTCGTTACAGTCGGTTTCTAACGTTTGGCTCTGTCGGCCATCTTGTTCTGCTGCTTTCAGCTAAAAGCTTTTTCACATGAAATGACTTGAAGCAGTTCTGTACCCAACGTGTCAACAAACAGAATCAAACAATATATTAAATTATAATATAATTTAATATAATATAATACAATACAATTTAATTTGTCCAGATCTAAACGTGATCCAGGTCTGCTAAAGTCCAAACACGGACCTAAAAACCTGAAGACTAAGAGACCGTTTGGCTCCTTGAAATAAAAATATTTAAAGTTGTAGCGACTCTTGTGTAAATCAATAAATCAATGAATGTGAACTCACCGGCCTCCGGAGGAACCAGGAAGTTCCCATAGACTCTCTTCAGCAGCTGGAATGAACAAAAAGAGAATTATCACAGAAACATTAACTTTATTTTAGTGTAAAACAATAAAACAACAAATACTCGACAGACATCACACGATGGAGGACGGGGGGGGGGGGCTCAGTCAGCACTTCCTCCTGTGTGGTGAGTCACCAGAGCTCACTTCCTGCTTCTGCTGCATCTAAGAGCAGCTCGTCTCCCAGCCCAGCCCATTTCAGCTGTTCGCCTCTACCCCCACCCCCCACCCCTGGTCTGTCTCTATAGCCCCCCCTGTGAGGTTCACCTCGTCAGCGCCATGCTCCTGCAGCTCCTTGTAGAACTTCAGAGAGATGCTGATCATCACTTTGGTCTTGTCCCCGTTGGGGTTGGAGATGTGGTACAAGACGCCATCGAAGTCTGCCGGACAGAAGCAACAAACATCTGTTACTTTACAACAAATATGTTACTTTAAAACAAACATCTGTTACGTTACAACATTTGCTACTTTACAACAAACATCTGTTTCTTTACAACAAACATCTGTTTCTTTACAACAAACCTCTGTTTCTTTACAACAAACATCTGTTTCTTTACAACATCGACTACTTTACAACAAACATCTGCTACTTTACGACAAACATCTGTTTCTTTACGACAAACATCTGTTTCTTTACGACAAACACCTGTTTCTTTACGACAAACACCTGCTACTTTACGACAAACACCTGCTACTTTACGACAAACATGTGCTACTTTACAACAAACACCTGTTATTTTATGACAAACATCTGCTACTTTACGTCAAACACCTGCTACTTTACGACAAACATTCGCTACTTTACGACAAACATTTGCTACTTTACGACAAACATTTGCTACTTTACGACAAACACCTGTTACTTTACAACAAACACCTGTTACTT